ATTTGAGTGGCGAGTGCAGTACACATCTCCAACTTCCAAGGCCGTGTCATGCGGCGTTTGTGTAGACATCTCTTTTCCGTCCTTGGGTTTCTTTCGTTCTGATGCCGACTCTTCTCTCCAACACTTTGCTCTTATGGCCTAAAAAGCCAGGGGATTCAGAGAAGTTGAACGAAGAGACGACTATAGCCATTGGAAGATGGACTAACCGACTCGACAACGCCTTGCAACTGCTTTGGCAATGGATCGAAGTGAAGTTCCGTAGACTGTTCACACACACGTGCAAACTCTGAAGTGTCAGAAACACATTAGAGGACATAATTTGTAACTGAAGGGGGTGTGTGACAAGACAATCGCCACTCGCTACGGTGATAGGCGCCGCGTGCGGCGTGCGCTTGCAGACCACGACATTTCTTGGCTTTAGATTGGAAGTAGACTGTAACCAAAAATAGCTATGAATGTCTACGATGTCGAACTCTACTCGAAAGTGATCCACAGGCTAAGGCAAATTACAGGAACTTCGCGCCACTATTTGAGCGCGACCGAACTACATATTACGATTGTCTTGACCATCTCCTGTTGGTAGCCCCAGAACTCACCTGAACCACTACTGGAATGCCACAAAGGGTCGCGAGGTACTAGCATAACCAATCCGCTTAACTGTCTTCCATAGAGGGAGATTGACATTTGTAGAAGTGAGCTCACATCGATATCCTTAAATAGCTAAAGTAACATGATCAACCAAGTTTACAAAGGCAGAACTACCTTAACAGGTGTACAAAGCTCCACCATCGAATTTGCGGTCAATAGTCTCACGTTATGCATTGACTTCAATTGTGCTCCTGTAACAAGGCATATTTCGTTATACGACATTATGAGTTTTATGAAAACAGTTTCTAGGCGCATTTCGGGGACGGTGGAGGGGCTATTTTTCATTTACGCTTCTTCCCATCGTCGTGTCGACCCATCTAGAGAGCCTTTTCGTGAGCTTACAGGTTTTACCATAATGGCTCAGCGAGCTTGCTCCAGCTTCACAAGAGTTCACAGGTTTCACCAGAGTGAGACATGTAAACCGGAAGTAGTGAAGCAAGGAAATGTGCAAAATGACCCCCCCCCAGTCGCCGAAGTGCGCCGAGTTCCCATTCATGGAATGTGCAGGACAGAAGTTAAAGTTTCAAGGTATCGGATGATCGTTTACATCCAAAATGTGGTACACACCTACTTCTAACGATGAGGCCTATAAAATGAAGGGGTAGTGAGTCGATGCTCAAGCGGGGACCTGTTGCTGTCGGGGAAGCTTTTGGCTAAGTATGACCGTCTCCCAATGACACCCTTCCTACGCTACCTAGCCACAAAATACAACCCCTTGCACGGTATTCTCTAGCGTACGGCGTGCCCTGAGCTTAAACCAGTGTCTCTGTCCCTCCCACACAAGCCTGTTACCAATCTACTGCGATCCGAAGTGAGATAGGTGGAACACTTGGGCGTACGGGTGGAACCTCGTCTGGAATTCAATTCCCAGATCGCGCACGAGACAAACTACGCAACTATCTACTACACCTACACTACCTGCGCGTCTAATATGCAGGATACATTCGAACCTTAGCTTTACCAACAATATAACAGCGAATGATTTAACAGACACTAGACAAACTACAGTAGAGGACAGGATCAACGTTACATCTGTGACTTCTTCAACGCCTATTTCTGTGATTCCAAGCATGAAGAAATAAGTGTTACACAGATCTGTACCACCAAACAACAGTTTATCCAGTTTTTATTATGATAACAGCTGTTTGACGCCGCAGTTTGCGCTCCGAAAGTCATAACAAGAATGCTGATCCATCGGCAAAACCCAGACCCCGTGCGGAAGATGAACCCGTACCTCACACTTACCTGGCAAGCGCTATCCCTCAGAGCATTAGGGCCGCCTAACCCGCTCAAATGCCTCTATGCCATAGTCTTACAGCACTCATATGACTAAAGCGATGAGCCGTTAGCCTACATCGCCAGCAAACTGCGAGATTAAAGGCTTTACGATTCAAGGTGTAATGTATAGCACGTTCATACGGTATGCGTGAGGTGTGGGCACAAGTCTGGCCGCTTTGCAATTAGCTGTCAAAAAGCAGTCAAAATCCATGTTTATACGAAACGGGACACGTACCTATATAGATTGTGTAGCTTTCATTCAGCGCATCACTGGATTTCTCCTCGATTCTTTCGGTCTTGGTGTGAGGACTCCTACTACTAAAAAGCGAAAGCCCTTTAAGAAGCGGGTAGACTTGTAACCCCATCTTCCTGAACCGCTCACCTGAACACATTCACGTCAACAGAACTCGGCATGTCCACAATGCTGCCACCCTCATATAAGACATCAACCAAATCTCTTAAAAGTAAATATAACTTAAGAATTTATCGAGAGAGCCGTATAAATCTCATCAAGCTCATCGCTCATCATGTCCACAATGCTGCCACCCTCATATAAGACATCAACCAAATCTCTTAAAAGTAAAATTTAACTCAATAAAGAGTGGGAAATAGGGAACAATATCAGGGGCTAACTCGATTATTC